CATTTCAGTATCTAAAGGAGTTGAGAATGTTATTGAACACAATGTAACTACCAGCAAAATTCCCAATTTCTGGCCTTTATGATGGAGGGAAGGTCATTGATGAAGCAGCTAAGGATAGTTGGACCTTTGCTGTATCCATTACAGCCAGCTGTTTTGCTTTGATAAAATGTACAGTCAGTTGAATTGCTGAAGTCTGTTGCCAGCGATTCTGTGGACCCAGGAGGGGCCAAGATGGATGATCAACTAGTTACCGCCCTGAAGAAATTGTGAACGTTGACCAGCAAAACAAAATAAATTTGTAAAGTCCAACAAAACATGGGAAAGATTTGGCTTGGATGGGGGGAATTCAGGTTCAGTGAAGACAGTGTAACCTCAACCCAAAGTGGAATGACATAGAGAGGCAGCACTACTTTAATTCTGCATCAGGATACCTAAAACTGTGAAACATGCCTTTCATTCTCAGCCTATAAGGCAGTTCGAACATCTCACTGGACACTTTTAAACCAACAAAAGGCTCAGTGGCAGCACTGCAAATTGAAGATGTCATATAGTCACATATAAATGATAAACAGCACTATGGCTTATACCGTGTTTAGATAAACTCGTTTTCCTAAGCAATACCTCTTCATACATGTTATGTAGAGCCAGAGTAACATCTAACATTTACAGCTTATGTTTGAAAGTTCTTTCATAGAGAGAATCTTTACAGGTATGCTCAAGGTTGATGACAATTTAGCACCACCAAGGAGTCGAATGGTAAAGGAATACACCTGCCATTACGTCACTGGCCAAAACACAGTCCTCTCATACTTGCCAAACTTGAAGTGAATGAACAGGAGCATGTTAAACTATTTATTTATTGTAGATATCATGAGTACATCAATCATGACCAACTAGGCTGAGTCCCAGGGGTACTATATCTTCAGCAGTCAAAACCTTGAACATGATCAATAGAAATAAAGATCATACTTAATTCTTGCAATGAAAAAGTCCTATAAATTTTGCAGCAACCTGTAACAGCTCTTTCCGTAGTTCAAAACTCAGTCACTCATGTGTTTTTACTTTTCTCAGCCTCTCTTTCACTTCACAGTAAAACCCTTTCACAAAGAAGAGGATTAGAGAGAATTCTGATTTCCTCGTGATATATGTAATGATCGTAACAAAGTCAGCCAGGTGGACCTCATAGAATATGAATTCCCTGATTCAGGCTGTTAATCTGGTCCAATCAGGGAGTACTAGCTGACAGATAAGAACAGGAGTGCCAGTCATCCTGTTCAGTCCGAGAGCTGGCTTAGTGTCAAAGACTCTCCACATAGAAATAAAGGATGACTTGGTGACGGGACACCGGCCTCTGTGGCATTATTTCAATATAGAACTACTGCCAGTTATTATAGTATAGTTGACTGTCTCAGATAAAAAATTGGTCAAGTTATATGACTTTTCAGAAATACAGTGAACAAATATGTGGACATCTTGCAGCACAGAACAATTCTGATTCTTTGTTGCAGCTATGATGAAGAGAGATAAACAACAGAGGTTAAGTGGTTCCTCCAAATGAAATGTTAACTGATTGGTGAAACTACACAATTCACAAACCCTGTGAACAACCCAAAATTGAACTGGTAGTGACAGGATAACTATTTGACTCCATTTGAAAGAATGGTGTACTGTACAGGTTCACAAAGATAGAAACACAGGAAGCTCTATCTTGAACTTTCCTGGTATTATTGATCGAATTAACCTTTAAAAGAAACTACATGAAGGCTTGTTTTCATCCTGGTGTCTTTTGTTAACTGACACTCTAATGTGTAACTTTCAGCACCCTGAGAAGGGCCAAAGATTTGCAGATTATGGGCCCAATTTTCGCCACAGAGAGTGCCTCCATTGCGGCAGACACATCAGGAGTTGAGAATACAAGGCCCATCCCAGAACATGGCATTTCTCATCTGTTGCAGGTGGAGAAATAGCAGCAAGCCATAGTTCAGGCATGCAGTGCTCCAGGAGGCAGCCAGCCATTAAAACACCAGATGCTCCCATGAAATTGTGTTCTAGACAACAAAAACTGCAAAATCCAAAGTGGAGATTCAACTCAGTAAGAGCAGGTCTATTCTCAGTGCATTTTTGTTTTCGGACAGCCAGGGTACCCATTTAGAGGGCTGAAGTTCCAATATATGGACCAAAGATACCTTGGGTATGGGAGTCAGAAATCTGGTCCTTCAGAGAGTTTTTTTTTAAAAAGGGTATTTCCACTGCCATTTTGGACAGTTAACAGTGAAGACAGTGGTGTGTAAAAAGTGCATAAACTCTGAGGATCTGTCCAACTTGTCAAGACACGTCAAGAAGTGTCAATGTGTCATTAAAACTCAAGACCTATCGGCCTGTCAAGTGTCAATTAATGTCAACAAATGTCAACCCGTCAAGATGTATATTTATAAATGAGAATTCTTTTCTCAATAGAGTATAATCTACAGAAATGTTAAGTAACAGCACTATTTTTTTTCTCCTATGTGCATGGTACTTGTGGATACTCAATGCATCAGCATGGTAGATGAAGGTAGGAGGAGGAAAGATCGGTTAAGGAAAGTTGGCACTATGCTGGCATAGGGGAATGAATAGGGTCTCGAAGGATGGGTAGAGGACATTTGGTTGCACTGTGTATGGCATCTTGAGACATGGCAAGTATGCAGGGGTGAGGGAGAATGAAGAGGATGTGACATGTAAGGCTGAAACAATGTTTTATATTTCCCCCTTTGGAGAGGTAACATACTCCTTTAGATCTAGTCCCAAGATACCCTTGATGGAGGTATGGTGTCCTTTGGGATTGTGAAAAGACATGCTTGCACATAAAAAGTGCATAAAATTCTTAGGTGTATGAAAGTTGTCAAGAACTTGTCAAAAACATATGTGGAGTTTTTCTTTAAATTACTAGCTATTTCAGAATGCCTTTCGTCTAAAGCCATTACAGGATTTGTGCTGCAGGACTGATTTACCAAATTATAATTTTCAGAGTGAGGTGCCTGACAGACAGCTCCAATTGCTCATTTAATTGAAATGTTTCTTTAAATGTGACACTAAGCACTCAAGTAAAATGGTTATTTTGATAAAACATTGAGCGCTAAGTGAAATGATTGTTGACGTAAGGAGCCATTTGAAGAATTTCAATGTGTTTGGCCACCTTTTTGTATTAATATGTTGCTTCTCTAATAGTGATATCCTCAATAGACTGGTAACATTTATTTTCTGTCAGGGTGCCTCCCGATTAATGCCACACTGAACGATAGATAAGTTGGCACAGAGAAGCAAGAGCAAAGGGTGGTGGGTGAGGTTTATTACTTGAAATTGAGTTGGCATAACAGCTATAAAAGGACCATGGGAATGACTGAGGTCACACAGGGCACAAGAAGCTATGGGAAATAGGTATAAGGTGGTATGGGTGATAATGAGGGCTAGGTGGAATGGGTAAATGGTCAAAGTGCAGCATAAGGAGCATGAAGGCCTGAGGGATTTGTAGATAGGTAGAGGGTGGCAGAGAGTGGGCTTGGAGTATAAGGGGAATGAGGGGTAAGAGGAAGGCGGGGGGAAGATGTTTTCTGTTTTATTGCTTACTTTTAAACTTTGAACACAACATTAGATTTCCAAGGGAAACTTGCTCCTTGGCTCATGTAAGGTTTCACCAGTTGCCTGGCCCAACTCCAAATCCACTGTGGCCTGCTGGACCGAGAATCAAAACCGCAGGCAGCCATTTTAAAGGGCAGGCTCACAGTATCAAGATTTGTCCCAAGTCAGGAACAAAAATCAGGACAAAAGTAGAAATTGAGGGACAAAGTTAGCAGGTCCGGCAAAATCAGGGCCTTTGTATTTTAATTGATATTTTTGGGCAGAATTAAAGGGCAAGGATTAAAAAACAGAGACAGCAGGTGGCTTATTTGTTGACTCCAATTAAAACTGCACTTCAAAGACATGCTGATATAAAAGGGACAACAATGTTCTGTTTAACAATGGGGGTGACAGAGCATGGAGAATCTTTTGCTGCAATGTTCCCTCTAATAACTTTTTGTATTTCACAGCACTGCGTGTTCTCCTCAAGACTGACATGCTTCCATGCATCTTAAAGGAAACGTTGCATACATGAGGCCAGCACATATCCATCTGCTGCATGACCATGCACTCAGAGTTTAGAGCCTACTATAAACACACACGCTTCATATATCCATCCACACACACACACACACACACACACACACACACACAGAAATACAGCGAAACATCCTTCTACATAGTCCATTATTAATGCATCTCAATTCTGCCATTGAACTGGATATATTCTAATATATATCTATATTCTAATAGAAAACTCTGGAGCTCCCTGTATTGTGAAATCCATCGATTCTATACACTGCGGTGCACATTTCACAACACCAGCAATAGAATTTTCCAATCCTTTGAAAAACACAAGTCATGCTTTTATTTCACTTCTAGCCAGGAAAAATCCTGACATACCAGCAAATGAGCCAGATAAGGAAATGAGCCAACACAAAATACGGTAGTATTGATGGCCACCGCATTGATGGAAGATCTTAGTAAAATAACCCAGGGAAGTTGTCATTTCACCATGGCCCCTTCATATTACAACACTGACACTGAAGACAGAGGTAGGGCACTGAGCAATCCAGTAATACAACTGAAGAAAACTTTTATTCTTCCTTAGCTTCAACACCAGTTGGAAAACACTCTGCAAAGTCAACACAGAAAACAAAATCCCAAGAAATAAATTAGAAAACGGGAATTCTATTTCACAAAAGAAAATGTTAGAGTTTGCTTTACTCAACTTGTTAAAGGTACCTCAAAACTTTCGCAAAAACAAAGTGTATAGTAATTTCCTTATGTTTATCCAAGTAAATAATTGTACTCCTTATGCTCCTTTAGTGTTCTTCTTTAACAGGTCACTTTCAAATTTAAATACTAAATTACAACTGAGAAATATCTGAAAACAAACTCACCCAGAGAAATCTGTGGCCAACAGTCCATAATTAAAGATATATACTCTGCTAATTTGACACAGTGTGAGATAGCTCATTGCTGCTACAAATGAATACCTAAAAGAAAAAGAAACACAAATGTACTGAAATTATTATGATGTTACAGATAATAAAAATAAATTATTGGGAGAAGTGGTTTTTGAGGAAATTGTCAGAGGAGGGGGGAAAAATGGAGAGACTTAAGTCACCTCAAAGTCTTTACGGCAAAAGGCACAATGGTAGATGATGAAAAACAGGGATGGACAAGTGTCAAGTTACAAAACCCATTCTAGCAGGAGGAAACTTGAATTGATATTTTTCATCTCCTAAACTCAAGGTTGCTGAGGCCAACTTGAGCTGCCTCCTCAACCATTGAGCCTGCAAGGATCAGTTGGCGGAGGACAAATTCATTGCCACAATCCAGGACATCCTGGTCTGTATGACAAACTATCACTGGGACAGTGTACAATTCATTGAGTCACCAAGGTGTTAACACATTTCGCAAATGTTTGGATACATGCTAAATTTTCCTCAGTTTTTATAGTTTCAATATCATTACTTCACCAACCTCTACACCATTGTATATGCAAACCCACAGATATACACCTCATCTTACATATGTAAGAGTCAATTGCATGCAAGTTAAAACACAAAGTCAATACTAATTTGAATTGTTCAGATTAAGCAAAGGCCAAGGTTCAAGACAATGACATTAATGTAGGGGATGGAAAAAGAGTAAGGAGGTGGAAGGGGAGAGCACAGAGAACCTAGTGGGAGAGAAAGGGACACAGGAGAAAGGAAGACCATGGAGGAAAAGAAAACAGAGGAGGAAAAGTGGACAGAGGAGCATGGAGATGGATATTAAGGAGGGGAGGAGAGGGACAAAAGCTTGGCAGTGACAGGGGAGGGGAATGAATATGGCGTACTGGAGATGAAGAGATGAACAGCGAGGAAGTCAAGGATCAGAAAATTATCCAGGACAGGTTACTGCTAATGGAAAACTTTGAACTGTCCAAAGACTGCTAGTGGAGAAGTGGTTGTTTAATTTCCATGGTAATGGATGCAGCCACATCATTCTTGTTGCACTGAGGGAAGAAGGATGGAGTGGGGAAGGGAGACCGAAGCAGAAGGGAAATGGATGAGGTAGGAGGTAAGAAGCAGGTAGGGAGAGGAGAAAGGAAGAGAGGGGAGTGGAAAACAGTGGGTGGGAGATTATAAGGATGAAATAGGGAAAAAGAGAGAGTACAGCAACAAGGCTGTTCAGTGAATAAATCGACCAAGGCAAGACCCATTACAATGTAATATATTAAACAAAATCCATTCCAGCTTCTGATGCATAACAGAAACTCCGACGTAAATTTGTAATATAGTTAGCTCCGTGTTTCATCGATAAAAATCAAATTGTACAGGTTCAGACAGAGTGAAAAGTGCTTTTAGTTTAGCTTTTTCCAAAACAGACAGGTCTGGGGCAGAAGTCCTGAGTGGCTTAAAAAGAAATTCCAAAACGCAGAAAATTGCTGGAACCTGAATATGGTACGTTCATGTGTTTACTCTGAAAGTATAGAAGTGTGTAAATGTCAGAAGGTACGTCCAGAAATCAGTTACAGCTGTGCCAAAAGAATCAGGAACATTTAAAATGGAGATATGTGACCCTGCGAGAAGGTTTGAATATCTGTAAAGTTGCTCTTGAGGGTAAATGCTTTAAATCCTTATTTATCTTAAGAAGACTATTTCAAATAGTTCTTGTATTGTGTAATACAGCAAATACTCCTTTTTTCCTTGTGTGCAATAAATATTTATGTTCTTTTGTTAAAAGTACATTGCAGCCTCTTGTGAATATGTTCAATAACTGACCACCACAGTAAACAAACAGAAAAAATAAAACTTATTCCCTATCAAGTCAGGTTTTTCTCTGGAATCTGACCAGTCCCAATATCATTAGCTGGAATCATAAAAGCATGGTTTAAGGATTATCTAACAAGCAGAATAAATGGATCATTTCCACATTGGCAGGTTGTGACAAATGGGGTACTGCAAAGATCAGTACTTAGGCCCCAGCTATTCACAATGTATGTCAATGATTTGAATATGGGGACCAAACGTAATATTACCAAGCCTGCAAATAACACAGAGCTAGGTGAGAATGCATGATGTCAGCAAGATGTGAAGTGGCCTCAAGACATTTTGGACAAGCTTTGTGGGAACGTGGAAGATGGAATACAACGTGGAAAAATGTGGGAGGAAGAACCAATGTGCATAGTAATACTTAAATGTTAAGAAGTTAGAAAGTGTAGATGTAGAAGGAAATTTGGGTGTCCTCATCAAGACAAGCATGCAGGTGCAGCAAGCCATTAGGAAGACTAATGTTATATTGGCCTTTTCTAATTCATTCACAGGATGTGGACGTTGTTGGCCAGCATTTATTGCACATTCCTACATGTCCAGAGGACAGTTAAGAGTCAATGATTTCATTCCCTAAAAGACATTAGTGAACCAGATTGGTTTTGTTCCCCTACAATTAACAACAGTTTCATGGTCACTCTTAATTTCAGACTTTTATTAAATTCAAATTCCATGATCTGCCGTGGCAAGATTCAAACCTAGGTCCCCAGTACATTTGCTGGGACTCTGGATTAATAGTCTAGCAACAATACTATAGGCCATCACCTCCGCTCATCACAAAAGGATTTCATTACAAGAATAGTAAAGTCTTCCTTCAGTAACTTGGTTAGACTGCACCTGGAGCATTGTGCGCCGATTTGGTCTCTTTCCCTTAGAGATGATATTATTGTCCAGACAGAGTGCAACAATGGTTCACCAGACTTGCGCCCAGGATCAGGGGGCTGTCCTGTAAAGAGAAACTGAGATAACTAGGCTCTCACTGGGGAGACGAACCTGGGCACACAATTTCATATTGGGTGGAAAGCAACTGAGGACAGAGATGAGAATTTTAGTTCACTCAGAGGATGGTGAATTCTATATCCCTAGAAAAGTGTAGATGGCAATGGTTCTTTATGCCAACTGTATAAAAAAAAGACAACAGGCTGGAAAATGCTTCAGTTCCAAAGAAGTCTTTAGACTCAAAACATTAACTGTTTTTCTTTCCACAGATTCTGCCATACCCGAGTTTCTCCGGCATTATCTGTTTTTATTTCAGATTTCCAGCATCTGTTGTATTTTACTATTCTACGTAATAGTTTGATTTGTATTTCTACATTGTATGCATTAAGAAGGGGAAATATGGTTTTCGTTTCATTTTAGATTCAGTCATTGAGTACATTTGGTTAATTACACAAAGGGATATGGGAACAGTGTGCAAACAAAGCATTGAGCTGGATGATTAGCCACGGTCATAGCAAATGGCAGAGCTGGCTCGGTAGACTAAATAGAGATAGTAATAACTGTCAATGCTGGAGTCAGAGATAACAGTGTGGAGCTGGAGGAACACAGTAGGCCAGGCAGCATGACAGGAGCAGGAAAGCTGACATTTCGGGTCAGGATCCTTCTTCAGAAATTTCTGCTGCTCTTCTCATGCTGCCTGGCCTGCTGTGTTCCTCCAGTTCCACACTGTGTTGTATCTGTCGGCAGACTAAATAACCTATTTCTACTCCAATATGCCAATATATTAAAAACAATGAACAATATAAACTATTTTTAATTTGGAGCAGTTTGAATTATCTGTCATGTTGAATTGAAACGGTGTAGAATATCTCAAATTTTTGCGCAATTCAAAGGATCGATCTGCTTGAACATCCAATCTTGAATGGGTCCCTGTCAGTGGAATCTACTGCTACAATTCAAATTCATCTTCTTTCAAATAAGGTAGAGCAACAGATCACAATCAACTATAAAAATACATTATAGTTATATAGTGCCAACCATGGGTTCAGGACATCCCAAAGCATTTTACAGTTAATTATGCACTTTTAGAAGATTAATCATAATGGGTTGTAGGAAACTTATCTTGCTGGAAAATCCTAACGAATTTGTAAAGTCTGGAAGTGACCCTTATTTTCTGCAATAAAGGATTACTACTTCAAGCAGCATCAAGCTTGAAGTCCAAAGTTGGCATATTGGGTGCCAAGAAACATTCCCAAGCAGTTAACAGCTGATGAACTGATAATAAGCTGGTGTCCTCATTTTACTTAATACTATGTTTAATGTCATCTGAGTGTTCCTCTTGGTGTTTTATTTGGAATGGCATGTCAGGGTAACAAAGGACTCAAGAAACTCAGGTGTGGCAGCATCTGTAGAGAGAGAAACTGAGGTAATATTTCAACTCCCATGACTCTTCTTTGGAAGAGTCTTCAGTTGCCAGACTTGCTGAGTGCCTCCAGCAGTTAGTTTTTATTTCAGATTTTCAGCATCTGCAGTACTTTTAGTTCACCTTTAAGGTGGTGCAAAGGTTAACAAGGAGTGAAGGCCATGTGATTAGTATTGTTTTTGAAACGAGAACCTATGTAAAAAGAACAGTTTTATGGGAATATAATAGCAAAATACTGCACATGCTAAAGAGCTGAAATAAAAGCAGAAAACGCTGGAGAAACTCAGCAGGTCTGGCAGCACCTGTAGAGAAACGGAGTTTACTACTTGAGTTCAGTGTGATTTCTTCAGATTGTTTTCTTAAATGAAAAAAATCACTGCTGTATTAAAATCAGAGTCCACGTATACTGCAAAATAAAAAATACGTATGTACATTAGTATAACTAAAAACAGACAAGGATCCAGCCAAATTTACATAAATTTATAGCTAGGGAAGGCAAATGGTTGTTAGTAAAGAAAAACAAATAAGATCTACCAGAGTGAAGGAAATCCATTCAGGGCATGTGGGTATTTTTGACCAGGCCAGCATTTATTGCTTATCCCTAATTTCCCAGTGTGATGTGCTCTTGTTTCAAAAACAGTACCAATGTAAAAGAACACTTTTATGGCAATACAATAGCAAAATACTGCAAAGGCTGACAACCTCAAATAAAAGCAGAAAGTGCTGGAGAAATTCAGCACGTCTGGCAGCATCACAGATGGTGGTGAGCTGCCTACTTGAACCACTGCAGTCCATGGGGCATAGGGTTGCTGTTAGGAAGAGAATTCCAGTATTTTGACCCAGTGGCAGTAAAGCAACAGCGTTATAGCTCCAAATCAGGATCATAGAATCATAGTACGTGTGGCCGAGCCTTTCGACCCAATAAGTCCAAACCGACTCTTCGAAGAGCATCCAACCCCCCTACCCTGTCCCTGTAACCCTGGATTGGTTACCTAATCCACCTAATTTACACATCCTGAACACTACTGGAAATTTGCCAAGGCCAATCCACCTAACCTGTACATCTTTGAACTGTGGGAGGAAACTGGAGCACCCGGAGGAAACCCACGCAAACAGAGAGAATTTGTGCAAACTCCACACAGACAGTTGCCCGAGGCTAGAATTGAACCCAGGTGCCTGACGCCATGAGGCAACAGTGCTAACCACTGAACCACCGTGCTGTCCCATGGTGTGTGATTTAGATGGGGACTTGCAGGCAGTGTTGTAGCAAGATCAAATCTGTGCAGCAACACGCTGTATTTCAAATACTCCCATTCAAGTCTCAAGCACAATTATATTGTGACGGAAAACATTTTATGCTAATTCAACAAACTGTGTCACACCAAGGCTGTAATTACATCAAGGTTTCAAACTCAGCCTCAGTACAGAACAAAGGTGCACTAACTACAGACTTCTGCATTGTCCTTGTACGTTAACCTGTTGCATTTGCTCAGTTTGAAACTTCTTAACTTTTAAAAGATGTACAATGCATAGTTCTCAGGAAGAGAAATACTGATAGAGATCCAAAGAGAAGATCACAGCACCAACACAACCCCTTGAAAATAGATTTATGGTCTATATGTGAGGTTAGAGAAAAGTGGTATATTTCAAAGAAATGATTATATCCAAAATGCATCTATGCTATCTTCTTTAAAAGTTTTCAAATTTAGGCAGTATTTCCAAATTGGTGCCTTTTCTGAAGAAAAGATTACACATACTGGGTTCTGTACCTGTGAATGTTTGAGACGTTCGCTGTTATCATAATGCAGTAACACAAAGAAACTTCTATAAAAATGTGCAATGAGTACCTGGAGAAGGAACAGCAAAACAAAGATTAGTTTCTAAGCCCAACTGAAAATAATTGCTCTTCGCATTTTAACAACCATTACTTTATTTGCATTTAGGAAAACAGGAACAATAACAGATCCATTGAGCTCCCCAAGGCCTTTCTGCCATTCAATTAGATCCTGGCTGACCTTGATCTTAAATTCATTTACTTACCTAGTTCTGATATTCCTTAATGCCATTATTGAATAAACGCTGAATATATAAACACAGGCGCAGGTAATTTAGCCCAGGACTCTAAATTTCCACTAAGGCAGATATAGTTCTAACCCTTTCTTTTAAATCAACAGTTTACTCCTTATTCCCCTTTCCTTCAGCTATTTAACATGCTCTTAAATGTTAACATAGTCCATGCTTTAATCATGTACTCTGGCAGAGTATTACACAGCCTCTCACTCCGTTTTATTAAGAAAAGGAAAATCCCCAACTCTTTTTTTTCATTCTTTCAGATGCTATGGGCAGCATTGGCAAAGCCAACATTTGTTCCTCATCCTAATTGCTCTTGAACGGAGTGGTTAGTTCGAGCAGTTAAGAGTCAACCACACTGCAGTGGATGTGGAGTCACATGTAGGCAAGATCATATTTCTTTGCCAATGGACATTCACAAAATAAATGTGTTTTATGACAATATGGTCACTATTAGGCTAGCTTTTAATTCCAGATTTTTAGTGATTATTTTTTGTAATGATTGATGGTAGTTGGGAAGCTCACCATTACCAAGACTAACTAAGCCACTATCTCCCCAGTGTAGTAAATCTCTTGGATTTAATTTTATAATCAATGCCTTGTTCTACACACCTCTGTGTTACTGGAAACAATATATTCTATCAACGTTGCTCCAAACCTTACTACTTCCATCCCTTTAAGCTCTTTAAAATCATTCTTTGTCCACCACTCAGAATGCAGTCCTAGGTTTCTCACCGAGATATCAGCTTCTCCCTCAGACTCTGCATTAAATGCCTCATCTTCAATGATTTCATTCTCTACCTCAGCTCCACGTGTCCTCTAAATTCCTCACTCTCGTCTACTCCCCAACAAATATATTCTCCCAACTAAATCTGTGGCCTTCCTAACAACCTCACCATTAACTTAAAGACCATCTCCAATCAGTTTGTTGTATTGCATCTTTCTGGGACTTTCCTATCCCACCTCCTTCTGTATCAGTTGCTGGATAACATTATTCAGACTAATTTTACAGTTCTCCTTTAATGTTCAAACTACTTACCTTTGGCCTTCCATTTATCACAATATATTTGCAGCTACTTCATCAATGACTTTCCCTACTTCATAAGGTCAGAGTAAGGATATTCAGCACTATTCGGAACTCCTGAGATATTGCAGCAGTCCATGTTCAAATGCATCAAGATCTGGACAATATGCAGGCTTGGTCTGACAAGTGGCAAGTAACATTTGCACCACACAAATACCAGGCAATGACCATCTCCAATAAGAGACATCGAATCACCACTCCTTGGCATTCAATAGCGTTACCATCACAGACTGCTCCACTATCAACATAGTGGAGGTTACCATTGACCAGAATCTCAACTGCACTCAAGGCATAAACACAGTGACTACGAGGGGAGGTCAGAGATTAGGAATACTGCTGCAAGTAACTCACCTCCTGATCCAAACACTCCCCAAAGCCTGTCCACCATTTACAAGGTACAAGTGCGATGTGTGATAGAATACTCCTCACTTGTCTGGTTGAGTGCAGTCCAAACAACACTCAAGAAGCTTGACACCATCCAGGACAAAGCACCCTGCTTGATTAGCGTCACATCCACAAACATCTAGTCCATTCACCACCAACACTAATCTAGAAGATGCACTGCAGAAATTCACCAAAGATCCTCAGATAGTACCTTCCGAACCCACAATCACCTCCATCTTGAAGGAGGAGGACAGCAGATGCACGGGAACACCACCATCTGTAAGTTCCCCTCCAAACCATTCACCGTCCGGACTTGGAAATTTATTGCCGTTCCTTCGCTGTCACTGGGTCAATATCCTGGAATTCCCTCCTTAAGGGCATTGTGAGTTTACCTACAGCACATGGACTGCAGCTCACCACTACTTTCTCAAGGTCAACTAGGGACAGGCAATATATGTTAGCCAATGATATTAATGTCCAAAAGTGAAAAAAGTTAAGCCATTCCACATCCAAAACACTGAAATCTTTGAAATCTTCATCCCCAGAAATAGTTTGAATCTCTCTATTTTGCCAATAAAGGCCTGATCCTAATTCGATATCATTTTCTCTGCTAGCCCTGTCTATTCCAGCCAAAGACCACATCTTCACGAACTTTCTCACCTTCACCATGTTCATCTGAATCCATGTTCTTTCATCCCTCCCTTCACCTCAGCATGGAAACCACGTCAATACACCTCCAAGCCCACACTCTTGAATTCCCTCCCCAAACCTTTCTGTTTGTGTACCTCACTCTCTTCCCTTAAGGCCTTCTTTTAAAAACTTCCTTCCTTCTATTACGTCCTTCCCTGGCATGGGTTGGACTTGCACTCTTCAATGGACGAGAAGCCCCTGACATAAGTGCTGCTGATCAATTTGACTGACTGACCACTTTACTAGTCCTAGCAGCTCCTGACCTCAGGAGTGGGTGTTGCTCAGACTAAAAGAAAGCTCCAGGAAGAGGTTTGTGGTGATGGGAGACAGATAAGGCCCAAGGGTCGGGGGAAAGAGCTCCCAATGCACTGGCTCTCACCTGGTGTACAGCACTGTTACTCAGTGTGCAGGCCAGTGAGTCTGTTACCTTTGGCCTTTGCCCCTTTCCTGAGCAGAGCTGAGCCAATCAAATCACGTGCCGCTTCTGCTGTGGGTCGTCCCAGAGCCGAGCAGAAAACACATCGACTATGGCAGCTGGTGCGCACAGTTCATTTGTTGGAGTGTGCAGGGTGTCATAGCAATCTGAGTTTTGGCAGATTTCTCTGACTGCTGACAAACCACTTAAGATGAGTTAATGTGGCCCCATGGAGAACAAACTTGCTGCATTAGCTCAGAAAGACACATCACTTGTGGTCCCACCACTGCCACTCCGCCAGTTCCTTTGCTGTTGGTTGTCAGCCATCCAACCTAACTCTCTATGCCCATGCCAAGTTTGACCTGTCTGAAGTTGGGCCTTCTCGGCTTACAGCTGCTCAATGGTGTCCTGCACGGTCATGTCCAATCTCCTGTCACTGAAAAACAGTAGCTTTCCACTATCTATGTTGCAACTACTGGGGGTTGCACTGCTCTGAAACACTAAAGAGAGAGAGTAGCAGGGAAATGTACTAGGACGATTAGTTGAGTTTTGAATGGAATGTTGAATGTTTAGTTGGATAAAATTGGCTTGGAATGGATGTTTTTAGGTGGTTTTATTTCATGACTGTGACTAAGGAAACACTATGATGATTTACATTCCAGAGTTAAACATAACAAGGATCAAATTCATAGGACAGAAGTGGAACTAGATTAGTTGCTGGAAGGGATGTTAGTTTTTTTTAAAAAGAACAAAAAAAAACACGTGTTGTTTAGAACACACTGGTTCCTTTTCTCTCCTTAATTTTGCTCTACCTCCATCTTAGAAAAAGATATGCCATTCCAATTATTTCCAATTAGGAACACGAATGGCTTGTGGAATCATGGCAAATCTTTTGTTAGCAATGAGAACAATCCCAACTTCAGATTTAGCTTCTCATTATTTATGGATGCATTGGTATGCAAAACCGATAAAGCATCATACTGATCAAAGTTCTGGAGATCTGTCTTGGACTAAGAACTCCAAAAGATTGTTTCCCACCCAATTCTGAACAACTCAGATCAATCCGGGTAGAGTCTCTAGTCTGACTGAACTTTGCACACAACTATCAGGGCAGCATCTGAGCACTATCATTGATCTTGGTGGCTCAGCTTAGGGACGAGAAAACTGAGCCAGGAATTGCTTCGCCTGGACACATTTAATACATACAATCAGGGAACACATGCAAGTTCATCTACAATTCCCTCCGTGCACAAAATATCTGCCAAGTCATTATTAATATTCTGTGATGTGTGATGACAGCTATCACTTGGAAGAACACATCCAGCTAGCCCTCAGAATGGTTGCTGCTTTCAAGGCAGATGATCATAGAAGGACGAATGCCTGTTCAGTTACAGACATGTACTCCTAGTTCTAGCAGATAACACCATGCACATACACAAACTCGCCTACTTAAGATCCAAGAGTTGGCAACAATTTCATCCAACATATACCATACATGTGTTTCATTATTTGTCTTATTTCCACTTAGACTTGGCAAAATGATACCATTTACCTGCTATTAATTAATCTCTCCTGCTCTCTTCCTTACCCGCATATCTTCCTTTTTGTTCTTCTTTCCACCTTCCCCAATTTCACTTTCTCAAAAATTATTAGATATTTAATATTTTTCGGTTTGATGACAAGTCAAGATACAAGTCATAGAGCTGTATGCCATAGAAACAGACCCTTTGGTCCAACTCGTCTGTGCCAACTAGATATCCTAAATTAACAAAGTCACATTTGCCAGCATTTGGCCCATATCCCTCAAAACCTTTCCCATTCATATCCAGGTGTACAGCTCGATGAACACAGCAGGCCAAGCAGCATCAGAGGAGATGGAAGGCTGACGTTTCGGGCCTAGACCCTTCTTCAGAAACATTTTCTGGTTATCTCAGATTCTCCAGCATCTGCAGTTCCTACTATCTCCCATTCATATCCAGATGCCTTTTAAATGTTGTAATTCTATCAGCCTCCACCACTTCCTCTGGCAGCTCAACCCACACACACTACCCTCTGCCTGAAAATGTTGCCCCTTGGGTCCCTTTTAAATCTTTACCTTCTCACCTTAAACTTATGCCACCTTTGGACACCCCACCCTGGGGAAAAGACCTCACAAACTGTTTCTCCCTTCACAAATGTAGCCTGATGTCCTAAATATTTCTAGAAGTTACTGTTTTTATTCAAGACTTCCAGCGTTCACAGTATTTTGCTTATATAAATGAAAAAATTATCAATCTGTGATTCAACATGGACAATTGAAACCAATTTGAGAAACAAACAGAAATACTACCCCAGCCTGGTAGCACTAATCAATAGCGGAATGCCAGTCTGTTTCCATTGTCCTGCTCCCTAATAGAGCTTCGTGCTTCTGGACAAGTCTTCTGATACCAGCTGCTTCAGAAAAGGAGACAAACTTTCAAAGTCAAAGTCAACAACTTCCTCATAATCCCCGAATGAGAACTGATCTCAAATGAAACTTGCAGCAAGCTAAAGGGATTGACATGGTAGATGCAGACAAGATATTTCTCCTGGCTAGGGAGTCTAGAACCGGGGACATTATTTTAAAATAAAGGGACTGCCACTTAAGTCCCAGATGAGGAGAAGATTTTTTTGAACTTTGGAACTCTCTACCACCGAAGGTGATGGAGGCTCAAACAACCGAGTACACTTAAGGTAGAGATTGATAGATTTCTTATTACTAGTGGCGTACAAGGCCATGGGGATAGGATGGGTAAAAGGCAAGTGAAGTATTCAACCAGCCATAATTATATTGAATGGTGGGGTAAGCTTAATGGGATGAATAATCTACTCCTGTTCCTATGTTACAATGGGAAACCAACTAGGCTGCATGTCACCATGTTACTGCCTCCAACAGCTGACATTGCTCAAGCCAATAATTAAGATAAAATAAGGCTTTCTGCAGTTACACACTAGGTTATAAAAGTCTACAAATTTTAAGTCATGTGAATTAAAAATAAATGCAACACAAGAAGTGATTTTGTCTGAAATGTATCAGAGCTCTGCGTCTATGGGATTTCGAATACTAGGAAGCCTCTTTTCAGGTTTGGAATGTAATAAAAATGGGTTACTGAAGAGTAGCTACAATCCTAATGCAACCTATGGGCCAACTGACGCCCACTTCCTCTTTGGTGCTTTTCTGAAGTGTTGCTTCACAGAATTCTGGGAATGCCATCATTGCCAGCACATCTGCATGGTGACTTAGTTGGATTTCAATACTGTCCGTTTATTGCAAAACTCAGCAAGGACTACTGATCAGAGGTACAGCTATTACAACTTCCTCACAAGCCAACCATAAGGGTTGCATTAAAACGGAATTATTAATCCAGTAGCAAAAACTGAAAATGTTGGGTATTTTAAGCAGATCAATTAACTTCATGTGTCTCTCCACATATGCTAATATTTCAGGCCAACCGCCTTTCATCAGAACTGAAAATTAGGGTGGAACAAGTTTTAAGCAAGTATGCAGACAGGAAGAGAGACATGAATGACAGAAATATGAACAGCTGCTCATTGAAACTAAAAGAAAAGCAAGCCAAAACCAGGAATAAGGAAGGAAACAAAATGAGAGCAGAAACTTTGATCTGAAAACATTGAATTCAATGTTGAGTCCAGGAGGCTGTCAAGTGCCTAATGGAAAAAAATGAAGTACTGCTACTAGAGATTACATGGAGCTTCATTGGAACACTGCACAAAATCAAAGACACAGATATCCACGGGGAGCTAAGTGGAGCATTGAAATACATGGCATAGGGATGCTTAAAGCCAGGCTGACAAACCAATTCCATATTCACAACTTCTGTTTCTTTACTAGAATTATCAAAACTACCTTTTTGCCTTGATCCACACAGTTTTGACCATTTAATCATTCCTGCCTGCTAACTTACCACTGACTTTACTATTCTTTCATATGTACAGTGCTCCATACTCATCTTTCAAGCCTTATGAAAATACGAAAATGGCCACTGGCCCAGAGTACAATGGTGTGTTGTGGGAAAGGCCAGCCCTCGTGCTCCAGCACTTTGTTACAGCTGTGACAAGAGAAATTAAAAGCCCTCTCATACTCCTCCATGCCACCTCATTCCCCCAACCCAACAGCTCCTCACACTCTCCATGCAAACCCAGGCCTTTCTATACGTTCCTCATGGCCATTGACAGCCTTGATGCATGCCAACCCAGAACAGTCCATGCTCTCCAATCACCATTCTATGCACTCACACCCTCCAGGCCAACTTATTCTGCATCAGTTACAGACAGACAGACAGACAAATATGTTGAGATTAAATAAACTTATTCAGTGTCTATTTTTGAATAGTGAATTCATCAATAAGCCCTCATCCATAAAAGCTGTCACTATATATACCTTCTTTTAATCCCTTACAAAAACAAGCATTGTAATCACAGCCCCACTGGCTGAAGAGGTTTGGAAGCAAGGTCTGGCTGGATTGCGGGCGAGAGAGAGTGTGTGTGTGGGCGAGAGACAGAGTGTGTGCGGGCGAGAGAGAGAGAGAGTGACTGGGCGAGTGAGAGTGTGTGTCTGTGAGAGAATCTGTGAGAGAGTGAGAGAGAGAGCGAGAGCGGGAGAGAGCGAGAGCGGGAGAGAGCGAGAGCGGGAGAG